TTAATGTACTTAATAATTATAGAGGAAGATAAATATTAACGTTAAACATTGGTCAATTATCAAACAATGTGCAAATTATGAATTGTTGAAAAATTATATGACTATGATAAACGATAATTTAATAAGTACATACAAGTAATTTGTATGCAAATATCATATGATCTTATACATTTATAATATTTTATAAATTTATACATAATAAAATTTATATATTAAATAGTCAAACTACTTAAAAACAATAAAATAGATATTAATAATAATAGTAAATAAATAAAAAAATGTCCTATTATTACTGAATAGAATATTATGTAGAATATAATTTCATATTGTCTTATATAATTTTAAAATTTTTAAATAAAAATTATTTTTTGTATTATGCCCCGTGCATCGTATGGTATGCACACTAGTTGATTAGGTGTGGCTAAACTTTATATGATAAAAGTGGGGAGTAATGCAATCACAATTCACAAATGATGTCAAAAGGTTGTTGCGTAGCGTGACAATGTTTGGTGTTAGTTTTTGTGGGAAGTACAAATGTGCCTAGTTTGGTCATATGGTATCCAAGGAAAGTATTCTACGCTTTTGATTAGATTAATTATTAAATTTGAAATTAACACAAATAGGAGGCTTCTTCAATCTCCTCCGTCACGCACCAAACCCTTTCCCCAATTCTCGAGCTCTTCGATCTCTTCTCCGGCGAGCCTTCCTTGGTGACACCGTTTTCGGGCCAGTGGTCATCTTGACTGCTCGGCACACTCTCTAAGGACTATTCTGCCTCCGTCTCCGTGGTTCCTCAGGTGAGGCCGGTTCTTGATGGTAAGGGCTGGGTTGTGGTCGGGTTTTTCAAATGTGAGCTCCAATTTGTTGAAGCCTCTTAGGCCGTCGGCTGTGCTTTTTGGAGGGGATGTCGGAGCGGAGCTCGGCTCTCTGGCGGTCTCGGGCGGTGCTGGTCGGATGGTCTCAATTCTGTTTGGACTCCCGGATCGAGCCACCTTGCCTGGACTGCTGGGTCATTCATGGTCTGTTGTATTGGGCCCTTTGTCGGGCAGTTGATGGGTTCACCGACGGTCAATGGGGTGCGGGGCTGATTGAGTTTCTTTCAGGGGTGGGCCAGAGGCTCTAACCGTCTAGACCTCTTGGGTCGTGATTGTTGGAGTGGGGGACGGAGTTTCTCACTCTCTCTCTCT